TTCCACTGGTTAATTGTTCTCAAGGCCAGGAAGTTTCTCCTTAATTCCAGGTTGCTTAACTGCGTTTCGTCCTGACAGAAATGCAGCTCTGTGCGGTAAGACCTGTGGCGGTGGACTGTGTATATACATCAACACAGAATGGTGTAAAAACTCTGTCCTCGTTTCCACCTACTGCTCACCGCTTGTGGAGTTTATGGTTGTGAGATGTAGACCTTTTTATTTACCCAGGGAATTCACCACTGCTATTATACTTGGCATGTGTATCCCACCTAGCGCTAATGCTAAGGAAGTGCTCTGTATACTTCACCGGACCATCAAGGAACTGCAAAACACACACCCTGATGGACTGTTTATTGTTGCCGGAGATTTCAATCACGCAAATCTCAGGACTGTGCTCCCTAAATTTCATCAAAATGTGGACTTTGCAACCAGAGGGGAAAACATGCTGGATGTTGTTTATACAAATATCCCGGGGGCATATCCGGCGAAGCCCCGCCCCCACCTTGGCTACTCAGACCACATCTCTGTTATGCTAATTCCAGCATACAGACCACTCACCAGGCGTTCAAGACCAGTCCGGAAGCAGGCGAGGACCTGGCCAACAGGAGCCATCTCTGCTCTTCAGGACTGCTTTGAATGCACAGACTGGGACATGTTCAGGGAGTCTGCAACCAACAGTGACTCCATTAACTTGGAGGAGAACACATCGTCAGTGACCGGCTACATCAGCAAGTGCATTGATGATGTCACAGTCTCCAAGAAAATTATCTCACACCCCAACCAGAAGCCGCGGATAACTGGAGAGGTGTGTGCTCTACTGAAAACCCAAGATTCTGCATTCAGGGCAGGTGATAAAACAGCCCTAAGAACAGCGAGAACCAATCTGTCCCAGGCCATCAGAAAAGCTAAGTGTGCTCATGCCCAGAGCATCCACCAACACTTCACAAACAGCAGCAACACACAGCGTATGTTGCAGGGCATCCAAGCCATCACTAACTACAGAACATCACCACCTGCCTGTGAGAGTGATGGCTCATTTCTAGATGTGTTAAACAGCTTCTATGCCTGTTTCGAAGCACAGGATGTGACAGCGAGAAAGGGCACACCTCCTTCCAACGACCAGATACTTTGTCTCTCCACTACTGATGTGAGGAAAGCTCTAAGCAGAGTCAACCCATGGAAAACTGCGGGACCAGACAATATTACTGGCAGAGTACTCAGAGGATGTGCAGACCAACTGGCAAATGTTTTCACCGACTGTAGGTTTTCAGAAATCCATCAAGCAGTGGTGTCCAAAATGTCTGTCTGCCTTACACAGAGTTTATTTGGCTTTTATACAGTTTCAACCAGCAGAATAGAGCACAGAAAGCAACAGTCTTGTTTTTGGTTTACTCCCTCCTTTTTCCCTTGTGAATCCAGAAGGCTATCCCAGCCAAGATTGAATCTCACCTAACTCCCTGATACGGCCTGTTTCTGCTCGGTGAGATCATGGGCTAAAAGATAAACGGCTACTTGAGATCATGGCTATAATGCGCATGTCTGTACGTAACCTTTCCTCTCTTTCCACATCTGGTTCTGCTAATTAGGTGAGCTTGTAGGTATCCAAGATAACCAGCTACTGAGATTATGGTAACTTACTACGCATGTCTTTACATAGCCTTACCTCTATTCATTCAACCAACATCTTCAACATCTCTCTGAGTACCACTGTTGTCCCAAAGTGCTTCAAGACAATGACCATCATCCCAGTGCCAAAGAAACCATCAGTGTCGTGCCTCAATGACTACCGTCCCATTGCACTTAGTCCCATTATCATGAAGTACTACGAGAAACTCGTCTTGAGGCATATAAAAACCCTGCTACCTGCAACATTGGATCCACTGCAGTTTGCATACCACTCGAATNCCAGCCAGGTTCGCAAGGCTGCCATGAAGGACCATGAAGAAGGAAGCACTAGACCAGGGGTCAGCAACCTGTGGCTCTGGAGCTGCATGTGGCTCTTTCATCCCTCTGCTGCGTCTCCCTGTTGCCAGTCGGCTCCACAATTGATAGGGTTTTCAGTTAGGACAGGTAGAGGAAAAAGGACGCCACACTAGGAGGAGACTCTATGGTGGGGGAACTAGACTTCCAGTCAGCTCCAGAATTGAATGGTGGGCTTCCGGTTAGGACCTTTGTGGCTCTTTGAGTGTTTAAGGTAGCAGACCCCTGGCCTAGACATACATATCCCTGCAAGCTCTTGGTGGAAAGATGAGATATTAAAACTCTGAGATAGGAAGCCATGTGTTGAGAGATGCCAAAGGACGCCAACTCACTTTCTGATCCTTCGCTGTTCTTGCTTCTTTTGTTTCTGCGCACACGGCTACTTTCTTCTCTAAAGAGAGGCCTCTCCTCGGGGGAGAAGACGTTCAGCCAGGCCATCTAAGAGAAGAAGGGCAGAAGAAGTCAGCATAGGCCAGCAAGCACAAACAATTCACACAAGGCAGTTTGGAAAAGCAAATAATGCACAAGGCCAAAATTAGCAACTTTGGCCATTAAGGGTAAGAGCAGCAGCCAAACCAGATCCAGCCTCGGTTTCCAGACAACCGGCTGTGATGCTGAGCAAACACGAGACCTGTGAGAGGTCAGAGGAGAAAAGGCAAAATGAAAAAGCCACAATTTTATTGCCACCAGCTTTACTGAGTCGCACGAAGAAAATCAAACTGTTTTAGCAGAATATTAAAACTGTTCTGTTCTGAATAATTTGAAATGAATGTCCACGTTTCTATTTTTAAAGTCTTCTATTGATATTAATTTTTATAGTTTTAAATTTTCTAATTTGTTTGAAACTACTAGACCTGGAGTTCAAAGGACAATTCAGAGAAATAATTTTATAACAAAAAAGGGAGATTCTGCCACTCAGCTCCGTCTTTTTGATCTCTGACCATATTAAGACAGTGTTGAAATCTAACTGCTGTCCATATCTAATGTTTCCTTCTGAAAACCCATGGAGGGTTCAAGATACGGATGGTACAAAGCATGAAGGGGAGGGTCCCGCAGAAGGAATGCCCACACAAGGTCCCCTTCGGAGGGGAGTGCAGCTACGCCTGGAATTACAATCATAATCAAACTGCTCTGCAAAGGGAAGCCCACAACGAACAAGCAGCAACACAAGGACACGTAACCACCAGTAACATGTCAAATGGATGACAAAAGCAACGAAACTCTTCTCAATCAATCAGAATAGAGCTAGAAGGGACCTTGGAGGTCTCCTAGTCCAACCCCCTACTCAAGAGGAGATCCTATACCTGTGATGGTGAACCTATGGTGCACATGCCGGAAGTGGCATGCAGAGCCATCTCTCTAGTCATCCCAGCCATCGTCCGTTGCTCTTCTGGGTTCCAGGTCTTCAGTGTGCAGGAGCTCTGGAAACGGGAAGAGCAGCTCCCTAGTGTGGATGTGCATGCTGGGAAGCTTGTCTCTGTGCATGCATGTGCACCAGAAACAAGACGAGGAGGTGACCGGCATGCATGTGCATGCTGGGGAACTGCTCTTCCGGCACTTTCCTGCCCGCGCACTCTCGCTTCAGCACTTACTGCCAAAAGGGTTTGCCAACACTGCCCTGTACCATTTCAGACAATTGACTGTCCATTCTCTTCTTAAAAACCTCCAATGATGGAGAGAACCCACAACTTCTGAAGGCCAGCTGTTCCACTGGTTAATTGTTCTCAAGGCCAGGAAGTTTCTCCTTAATTCCAGGTTGCTTAACTGCGTTTCGTCCTGACAGAAATGCAGCTCTGTGCGGTAAGACCTGTGGCGGTGGACTGTGTATATACATCAACACAGAATGGTGTAAAAACTCTGTCCTCGTTTCCACCTACTGCTCACCGCTTGTGGAGTTTATGGTTGTGAGATGTAGACCTTTTTATTTACCCAGGGAATTCACCACTGCTATTATACTTGGCATGTGTATCCCACCTAGCGCTAATGCTAAGGAAGTGCTCTGTATACTTCACCGGACCATCAAGGAACTGCAAAACACACACCCTGATGGACTGNGAAAAAGGTACAGAAGCATTGGGGCCCGCACAAACAGACCGTGTAACAGTTTCTTTCCACAAGCTATCAGACTCCTCAACTCTAAGTTCTTAGATTTAGAGCTATATGTTGTTCTGTGTGCTGCTCTTTTTCTTTTCATCTATGCTGTCTGATGTAGCACCTTGGTCCTAGGGAAACGTTGTTTTGTCTCACTGTGTACTGTACTATATATTGTTCAAATGACAATAAAACCTACTTGACTTGACTTGCTTCTCTCCTTGATTAGTTTCCATCCATGGCTTCCTGCCCTCTCATGCTTTGGAAAATAAATGGACCCCCCCTTCTCTTTGTGGCAGCCCCTTGAATACTGGAAGACTGTCACTCCTAGTCCTTCTTTTCTCCAGACTGGGCATCCCCAATGCCCAAGAGAAAGATGGGAAACAGGAAGGTAATCTGGCATAGATTCAAATCTTTGGGGAACCATCTCACTCCACTGAGCCCAGCCTTTTCTATTCATGTCAGAAGAGGAGGCCTGCTGCAGATCCCATCGGTCAAGGGACTCCAACTGGCGGGGTCCATGAAAAGAGCCATCTCTGCTGTAGCACCAGCCCTCTGAAACACCCTGCCCCCCTCCTAACTTTCCACAAGGGCCTGAAGACCTGGCTCTTCTGGTTGGCCTGGGGACCCTGTGGGGAGTACCCCTCACTGGTGGTGGCCACTGGGCTAATTTGCAGACTCCCATCTCATCTCTGCACTTTCTGCTCCCTCTCTGCCCATCTTTTAATTCATATTACTGTTCTTTCCTTGTTCATTTTTATTGTTTCAGTGCTTTGCTATCATTATGTTTACTTTTGTATTATTATTTTTTTCCATTTTACTGTTGTAAGCCGCCCGGGGTAGCCGCTTGGTGAGATGAGTGGCAAATAAATTTAACAAATAAATAAACCTTCAAACTCTCACCAGGTCTTCCTAATGACTGTGGAACTACTTGCAGAGCGTGCCACTCTGCAGGATCTGCCCCATTTCTGCCCCACCACTTCTCAAGGCCATTCTGCCCCCCATTATTCTCACCGGGAAGAACAAGAAGGTATATCACTGACCGATTAGCAGCCGAGCCTTTAAATTTTCTGCCTTCCAACCAATGTACCAAACAGTTCAGCTTCATAACTTTAAGCTTAGTAATAGCACAAATCAATCTTTTGGAGACACTTCTTGGAGAACCAAAGGGGCTGGGAATAGTACAGTCAGACTACCGTCAAATGATCTAACAGCACTGCGATTCTTTGGCATACACGTTTCTTCATAATGACACAAGTTTAGCTCAGCATAGGTGATATGATCATTAAACAGGTGCTGAAGTTAGTATAAAGTTTCAAAAAGAGTATGATACCTCAACCCCAAGGAATGTGCAGTTGCCTTAGGGAGGTCATTCCACTCGATTTCTCATCTTATTCTTCACATTGCAATGCCCAAGGTAATGAAATTAGAATCTGTTTTTGTATAACAGAAAGCCAACATTTGAGTCATAGAAGAAGGTCACAAATTTTAATCATGCTGCTCAGAAACTGATGAAGTCCAAAAATGTGCTTGTGTCCCATGCTCAGCATGCAAGGTAGTAAAATCCCTTCCCAGTGTCCAGAACCAGCCTGGCCCAGGTGCCCAAGAATCCTGTTCAGAGAAGGAAGAGTAGACACTACTTCTGTATTAACCCTTACTCTCATTGCAGCCTATTCCTACAGTTGCTATCTATTAAGTCAAGGTGCAAATGGATTCTCTTAGTATGGAAAGACAAAGCCCTTTGTTGAGCAACATAATTTACTGCTGAAATAGCCCTCTGGTAAATGCAGAAACAGAAATGCTCAATGCTGACCCCAATTGGTCAGAATTTTGAGAAGCCTGCTTAGTGCCTTCTGATAGACAGGCATGGAGCTTTCATCAATGAACCAATGTGTTGAAAGTCTCTCAGACAAAAGGCAGGCATCTCATCCTTTGACACCTTTGTATTCCAGGAGTCTCAATAATCCAGGAAAGAAAGTGCCATTCACAGGAAATCAATCAAACCAGGTCAGACAGCAAAGAACTCAGGCAGAAGCTCTCTGGAGAAGAAGGCAGCAAGTAACCAGGACCTTGGATAGCTCTTTCTAAGCGCTGAACAAAAGGAAGGAAGGCTTTGTGTAAGTACCCACCGCAGTCTCTGCCATTTCCACTTTCCTGGGGAACTCAGTGACAGATTAAACTTCTTCCCCTGATTTTTAGCAAACTGATGTCTGTAGCAGTATGGAGGCAGAGATATTTTCCAGAGTGAGTTTGCAGGATGGTCCAGAGATGGTATTATCACANTTTTCTGGACCATCCTCGACTCAACTTGCTTCCTTCTCACAAGGAGGCCGTTCCTTCATGTCCCAGTAAGTCCCTGCTATTAGGTGCGGTTTTTCAGCTACTTGGAGGTTAAAAGGTAAGGCTTGGAGGCTCCTAGGACTGGTGGGGGCTAAGGGCTCTGGTTTCCAGCCCAACAGCCCAGAAGCCTAAAAGAGAATGTGCCTCACTGCAGCAGCAATAAAAGAGGGCGCAGAAAAGCACATGGGCCGAGCAAAGGCCGTGGAAGCCCCAGGAGCGGCAGAGGCATCTGGGAAGCAGCGCGGCAGCAACAGACTCCCTGAGAAGCCACAGCAACCCCGAAACGTGCCCCAGCGGTGTTTCAAAATTCGGGGCGTACAACGAAAGGAGTGAGGACCTTGCCATTCTAACTGTGGAGGTGGGGGTGAGGAGCAAATCGCAGGAAGCATGAGGAGTGGTCGTAAGTAGTTGCATGATGGTGGGTAAATCCTCCATGTCTTCTGCGGAGGGGAGTTCCACCAGGCAGTGTTCCACTGCTTCTTCCAGGAGGCTTAAAGCCTCGGCTGACACTCGCCCTTCCCATGCCAGCCAAAGAAACGACGTTGGTGGCACAGGGCCTTGGTAAGAACTTTCTCCAGGGCAGAGAGGTTGAGGGCTCTGCAGGGCAGAATCAGTCCCTCCCCCTCCAGTTCCAGGTCACCCCTAGGGGCACTTACAGGCAGGATTCTCCCCCTAGGTCACCAGATTCCTTGAGGGAGTGCAGTGGGGGGGTTGCCCATTCCCCTCCCCTTTCCATGGAGGATTTTGACCAGGCAGATAACCAGTCTGGGTTTCTATCCCTAGAGACTCAGCTGGTAGGTAGAGATCTGTCCAGGCTAACCCTGCCACCTATCCCCAGCCATAGCCAGGTGCCTGGGGCATCCAGCTGGGACTCCTTGGATATGGAGGACCAGCCTGTGGGTCTTCAGAACCTCATTTAGAGAGCCATTGCATTTGGTGTGGCTGCAAGCATGCAGTGCCAGGGGCCTCGCTCTGCCTCTCAGGGCGAGGTCACGGTCCCCAGCTCT